GCTCGAAAAGTAACGGGGAGCCCCTTCTTTCCCTTTTCAGTTGTAACATCCTTTTGTTTGACCCCTATCAAGCAGTTACCTTTTCAAGTTCATCCAGCTTTTAGCTATTTTGCTAAAGGCCTCTGAACCAGGGGCGGTCATAGCTTCAAAGTCAACCAACTGAAAAAGAAAGAAATTTAACAATGTGATCAAACACGGAGGGGAAGAGCCCTTTGGGATCCGTTGCATTCGTGTGTCTCAACACAAAACTCCACAGGTTGGGATTTAAACGTTTCCCTTCCAGCTCCAGCTCCGACATACCTTCCCTTTGGGAATTTTTCCTGATACTTCTTTTCCACTGGCCATCAGGGCTCCCACAATCACTGAATAAGCGATCACACTGTTTAGGTAAAGAACAATTACCAGTCAGTCCCAGGCCACGGGCAGTTACCACGTCAGAGCTCACCACGGATTTTCCATCCTAAGAGATGACATTTTATTTCTCTTAAGAATTCTCTGGACATTAAACATAAGAATATTTTCATTTGCCTTAAAAATATTTACTAACTTACTAATAAAACTATTTACTCATTTACTAATTTAAGGGTAAACGTGTAAGAATAATATCTTTCTGAGAACAAAAAGTTTCTTTTAATTAGTTTTCTCCCCACTTGGCTTTTCTCTTCTCGTGAAAGAGTGAATTAGAAAATGTGCCTGCTTATATTTTTAACACTTTCATGAGGCTTGGCTTTAAAACGCAGTATATACGATATACTTTGTAAATGCAAACATATTAATATTATCGTTTAAACACTTTGGCCCCGAGGAAGAAACAAGCAGAACGCGTTTGCAGAACGCACTAACAGACTGGCCCGAAGCCGGCTGCGTTACGGGGACATACCGGCAAGTCCGGACTCACTCTGTATCCTGACGTCTTTGTGGCACCAGCTCTGTGCCCTGTGCCAGGAAGCCCAGGACGAAGACAACTAAGATAGACGTCTTGCCCCGGCGAGCGGAAACCAGAGAGAGTGAGCCCGTCCCGGGGTCGCCTGCCAGGGAAGCCCTCACTGAGGCCGCGGCCACGTGCGCTGCATCTTCGAGGGCCACGGGCGGGGCCCCCGAGGCACAGGAGGGGGAAGCGGGCTGGCAGGGGGAGGACAGGAAGGTGTGGGCACGGGCAGGGGGCGCGGGGAGGCAGAGAGCAGGGCGGCACAGCCGCCGTGAGGACACGCGCGTGCACAGAGCCTACGAGGTCGGCTGGCGGAAGGCGGCAGGTGGCAGGTGGAGGCCGCCTGCTCGTCACGCATCGCGGGCACATCTAATGACGACTGTCCCGAAGGCACAAGGTTTATGTTCCCATTTTGTTTCAATTCCGTCGTTACCGTTATGTAAGTTCCGCGTAAGGGCACGCACCCGTCTACTCCGGAGTGCTCACCACAAGCCTAGTTTCCAACCATCACCACACAGGGGATCCCCTTCGCCCATGTCGCCCACCCGCCCCCAACGCTTTTGTCATATTATAACAACATTTACTACCACATTTTGGAGAGTTTTACTTTCTAAAGTAGTACTTAAAGATCAAGACATTTAAGTGTATTACTTTAGCCAAAGCATCTTAAAGTCAAACATGTGCTAACGACGGCATATGCCATTCGCATGAGTTACTGTACACGGTACCAGAGAAAAGGGAAGAAAAAGAAAGCTCTACAGACGCATCCTTGTTTGAATGACACCTGAAAGATGCCTAGTGAATTCAGTAAGTAGCAAGAATTCATTCATAATAACAAAAATACTTTGCAATGGTTGGTGACCCAAAAGTATTAAACGTTAGGGCCAATTAATGGCCAAAACTTGGGGGCGAGGGGAGAACAGGGCAGGGTACAGTCTGCACAAATATCAGGAATTAAAGCACAGGGTGCACACGTGCGCACACGGTGAGACTTCGAGCTCCAGCCTATAAACGCCAAGCACCTTCTTTTAAAACTACCTTCCAAGACTCTTGGTGATGCAGTAGATCAAGGACATCATGTTTGGGTGGACTTTGAAAACAACCAAGGGGTCTTCCCGCCATTGCTGGGGTACCTGTACCCAGGGCCACACAGGAGATGTAAGCAAAAGGAGCGCGTTCTTCACTCCAAAAACTGTCAGATTAGAGGATATCACTCACCTGGATCCGCGAGAGAGTGGCATTAAATTATAAAAGTAATAAACTAAGGATAAGATTAAGTTGCCAACAGCATCAGTCTCCTAGGAAAAAAAAACATGTGCTTATGAACTTAAATAACAGATTATAAACTCATTTCTTATCAGGTGACAAGACACATCAGAAGCATTCACATTAGGAAGAGGATTATTTCATTCTTCTCCTACAGGAACCTACTTTCCACATCCTTGAATGTTTTATACTCTTTCCAATGACGTTTTTTCTCACGAGAGCGTATACATTCAGTTCGGTTTAGAGCAGTATGTCCCCAGCTGCCTTTAAAACTGCAACCTCTTCTGATAAACCTAGACACCTGTTCCAGTCTATAATGTTACTTGAAATGTCGACATATACATTGAGATTAAAATAAAACAAAGCACTTATTAATACTGAATACACTTTCCCAGACTACAGGCCTCTCTACTCCAGGGTTCTGATTAGTGCCCTACCCCCACCCACTGAGATTTAGGTGATCACTATACTTAATTTATGTGTATAAACTGATTAAGATCCTGAGAAACAAAGTAACTTCCCAAGGGCCACGGGCATCCATTCCAGAATGCGGATGGAGTGGCCGCTACACTCTCCACACAGTGACAGCTACAGCGATGGAGGTGACATTGCAGTTCCTGCTACCAAGGGGCCCCACCTTGAGTCGGGGAAGCAACGGAGGGCAGAGGTCACAGTCCAGGAGTGTCACTAAATGCGGCACAGGTCATGTCCATCGTGGACCAACCTGTTCTCTTAAATCTTGACAAAGCCCAAATTTCTGATACTATGACACAGTCACTACATACATGTATCATTCCCCTTCCCCAGTTTCTGTAGTTACTAAATACGGGAATTGTCTCTACAAGAATATTAAAAGAAATATTTACTGCTCGATTAAAGCTGATTTCAAGCATAAACTGTGTAATCCCAAGGAAAGGGTAAAGGCTTTAAGAAGTTTACAAAAGAATCAGAAGAAGCATGATAAAATGAAGATAAACAAAACCTACCCCAAATTCTGATGAGAGAATCAATACTTTTCCTTTCGCTGTTAGATCTTTATAAAGTGCATCTATTTCGGCGTGATATAATTGTGTTCTTTCTTCTGTGGTCTGAGTTTCCACGGAAAAGAGTATATTGCCTACCCTAAAAAATACAAGAAGGTGTGTCGAAGGCACATATGATACGGTTCAAAGAGCTAAGCACGGAAGGGTGGGGAGGGCAGCGTGGGGATGGGGGCACAGGACGCAAAGAAGACTGTCTCTGCCTCTCTGAGCAGACAGATGGGGCGTGTCTCACAGCGGGCAGCTTTTCCACAAAATACGGTTTTGCTCAGTCTAACCGTAGGCCCTGCTTACATGAGCTTAAGCTAACACAGGAGGAGGAAACTACACAGGGTAGAATGTATTTCAACGCCCAGGAAACATTTTATCAGACAGCCACCCTATTACAGTAGAAGACCAGGGGCCGGGGCTGTGCCCTGAAAGCGAGTTCAGGGCCTCCGCTGTTTCCTTTTCTTTAAGCTTCTGCTGCATGAGCTCCATGTGAGGCTCTGTGGAGGATACAAATTCTATGCAACAGGTATTTACTGGATAACGCCGGTACCCAAACGCTGATCCTCTAAAGGACAACACAGCAGAACTGCCGCCTTGATGGAGGGGCGGAGGGGGAAACGAGGCCACAGATTATGATGAGCCCATGCGTAGAGCCGTAACAGTTCATCAGAGAGAGAGTTGATCTACTCTGGAAGACATGGAAGAAAACAGGAAATGCTTGCGGAGGAAGGGGCCTGAGCCTGGGTCTTGAAGAGGAGGACGGCGATGCCAGAGGCCCAGAGCCAGGAGGTGGGAGGTGACCTCGGGGAACAAGCAGTCCAGCTGAATTAGGCCAGGCGCCAGCAGGAAAGTGCTTTAGGGAAGGCAGGAAGCGTTGTTTGAGGCCATGATTACAAAAGGCCTGAATGTGCGGCACGGGCACGGGGGCCGATTTTGGTGTCAAGGGGCAATGGCAGGGTATGGACTGGGGAGGGAGTTCTGGAGCCACGGGGGCGCCCCGTGGACCCGGCCTTAGGACCCGAGGATGCGCTGGTCAGCCACAGGAGACCGGAGATGGAGGCATGGGTCCTGAGTCTAGGTAGGGGTCAGAGGCCCCGAGCGAGACTGACAACAAATGGGCTGAGCAAAGATGCTGTGTTTCAGGGAAGGACTTATAGACTCTTACTCGGCAGTTGCATTTCTGCCCGGGAATTTAATGATAGGTGGGTGAAGAGGTAGGAGAAAAAAATTTCACCTCGACAGAAAACCCTGGAATTCCTTCTGGGCGGAGAATGACCCTTATTGGGAAAGTACTTTGATAAGTGGCTTGGGTTAGAGATGGAGACCTCAACGACGTGGCAGAGTCATAGAATCTGGAAGTTGCTAAACGGGGGTTTCCTCGTGAAGGCCTGTGTAAGTTCGGACAAGGAAGCCAGAGCCCAGCAGGGGCTGAGAGGACATGGCTCCCACCGCTGAGCTGCCGGAAGTCCCTGATGCAGAAGTGGTGGAGCCTCCTAGGAGGCAACTGAGGAGCGCGTGTTTCGTGGATGGCAGTGAATGGAGAAGGTCAAGGTCATTCCACCCAGAACTCAAGAGGCGAAGTTTGGATTTCAGATGTAAATAAAATGATCATTAATAAAAACGGTCACTGCGGCGCTACAGCTGATAAGGTGAAAAACTGGGAAACACCCTGAATGATCAATGACAACAAAATTAGTAGGAGCAACTCTACAATATTCCTAAAATGGAATACTATGCAGTTTTTAAAAATGCTTCTAAGAATAGGATATGGGGAAATGTTCGTAGTAAGGGTAGAAAAGAAACAGGTTATAAAACAATATGTACAGGGCTTCCCTGGTGGCACAATGGTTGAGAGTCCGCCTGCCGATGCAGGGGACACGGGTTCGTGCCCCGGTCCGGGAGGATCCCACGTGCCGCGGAGCGGCTGGGCCCGTGAGCCATGGCCGCTGAGCCTGCGCGTCCGGAGCCTGTGCTCCGCAGCGGGGGAGGCCACAACCGTGAGAGGCCCGCGTACCGCAAAAAAAAACCAAAAAACAAAAAACAATATGTACAGTATAATCTCAGTTTTTAAAGGAAATTATGATTTAAAATTTATAATCTTTGCTTATCTGTATTCTAAAGTTTCAATAAGACTGCACTTATACTCTCATACTACATTAAAACCTATATTTAAAAATCCAATAATAGCCTTCAACCTGCCAATCTCTCATCTTTTTTCCATTAAATTAGTAAAAGTCTTCCCCATGACGAACTTCAAGAACCTGGAAGAATGCTTTCCACAAACCACATCAGACGTTAAACTTGATATCTAGGAAGTTGTTAGATTTAGCACAGTCAGAAAATCTATCTGCTGGTGTAATAATCTAAATGTCATGTTAAAAAAAAAAAAAAAAAAGCTGGTTCTCGTTACACACTGGACCTTGATAATCTCCGTTTTAGGAGACAGCCAAAGCCCAGGAGGTCCGATCTCCCACGGCAGCGCCAAGCGTCTGCATGCCTTCTGACACCAGCCCCCGTCTGCACACCCGCACGTGGGAAGCACACGTACTTGTCTCCTGTAATAGTGATCGTGAAGCCGTCATATTCCTTCCCTTGGTCTTTGAGGCTGGGAACTTTTGTGTTCACGGTGAACCCATCCTTCGTTTTAGTATTAAACTGCTTTCGGGGAAAAAGAAAATTCACGTTACTGGTGAGTTTCACTGTAAATTCCCAACTGCCACTGTGCAGCGCCAACTCCGACTTTCATGTTTTTAAGAAGGGTCACGGTGTGCCAGACACCGTGTATTCTCTGTCCTGGCCCCATGCCCCGACCCAGACTCCCAGCCCAAGTCACGCTCCCCGTGGCCCCTGCCAGAGGGCAGCAGAGGACCTCAGAGCAAAAGGCGCACAGGCTCCCTGCACCGGCAAGGCCCTGCTCACTGCTAAGAGCTCCCTTTGGGTCTTTTCTCTCGTTCATCTTAAGCGGTAGCCACACTGATACTTTGCAGAATAGTTGTACTCAACATCCTATAATTCAAAAGAGCACCTTGTGTTTATTCTACTGCTTCTTCAAAGTAGACTCTCATCTGTCTGCAAATACTCAAGAATTTTGTCACCTGAGAATTTTATACACACGCATGCACACACCCCAACTCCGCAGACCACAGAGTGACAAAGCAGAGTATTCTCAAGGAATTACACAGAGATCAGAGTGGCCCTTAAGGGTGATGAGTATGAACACGGCTTTCTGTTGAAAACACTTTTGACAAAGTGAAATGCCAATAAATTGCTCCAGAAAAATCCTCCCCAATTCGGTTATTTAGTGTAGCCAACATTTTTTTAGGATTGATGGACTTGAATAAGAGAATCAATGGTAAAATTAAAAGAGGTCGTGCTTCGCATAAGATATTGGAGGGAAAGTTTGCCCGAAAACAGCGACAGCCAGCAGGCGTTCACCAAGGTACAGAGAAGGACATAGATGACTGGACGTCAGCAGGAGAGCGGGCAGCAGGGGCCGAGACGGGAGGTGTCCCGTATGAGGACAGAGACTTGTAGAGGCAGAAGGCGCTAATACTTAGTATGTGCCAATGCTCTTTCATGCCCACAGCGTGCCCATAAGACAGGACACGACCTCCATCTTATAGGTGAGGAAACCAAGTTGGTGAGATGAAGCGGGGTGAGGTCTGGCCCGAGCTGGCACGAGGGAGTGGCAGAGTGGAAGCAGGGACCCAGGCCCTCTCGACGTCCAGTCCCCTAACTTACTAACCAGCTGCCCCGAGGGGAGCTGAGGTACATCTGAACTTGGCTTTTCAGAAAGCAAAAGTGAATGTGCTGAAAAAGTACACGTACTTTTCAGCAAAAGTACCTATATCTCAGTGGAGGCTGTCAGGGCATTGTATTCACCGAGCACTTTAAACACAAAGGCGTATTTTTATATACTTGTACGTGTGCCTTTAGAAAGGCCAGTGTACCCACAGCCTGGCTGGAGGTGTGGTGAGCAAAACCACAGTGGGATGGCCACTCCCAGATGTGGCCAGACAGGCAGTGACTTTGCACTGGGAGCCAGGCACTGGGCGGGCGATGCCCGGCCCCTTAGCTGCTCTCCAGGCAACTGCAGCCTTTTGTCCATTGCGCTTTTTAGACAAAGATATACATACATTAAAATATCCCTAAGCTGATTTTGTATTCTGCCTAATATAGTAAATTTAAATGCCTAAAATACCCACAGGACAGCTAAAGACTAAAACCCGAGCCAGGCTCTAGTTTTCTTTCTGTCTGGTGCATCCAGCGGCCCTCGGTGCAGCCCTTCTGCCCCTTCGGGGGCGTTTGGGGAATTTATGGGATAATGTGGTGGCTGCGGGGATGAGGTGCTGGGGACGGTCACACAGGCGCGACTCCCACTGGACTTCCGTGTAGATGAGGAACCTGTTTATAATGTGATGATTATCTAGGCCTGGAACCAGACTCCGTTTTACACTCACACGCTAAATATCTGTTACAGCTTTAATACACACTGACTTTCCTAGGAGTGCAAACAGCATATAAATTGAGGAAAGAGGATACTATACATTGTGTGGAACTTTATTAAGTGTGGTTTACCGTTACAGAAAACCGTTATCGCCGACATCGTAGCTCATGATACTTGAGTCACCAAATGACACATGGATACAGGGCTGCATCTGTCGCTGTCACGTTCACCAAGATTATATACCTATGTGCAAGCAACTGGCTACTTCTCATGAAGAAATGCCTGAATGTTGACACACTGAAATACATGGTTTTCTACTATAAACAACTTACCTTTTAGAACTCCCTTACGGCACTATGGTGACTTTTGAAAGAATTTTTTGAGTAGGTGGGATACATTCTTTATGAATTTCATTCTAGTGCAGTAAAGGGGCCATCTGAACATGTTTACTGAGTTAAGACGGGTCTGAGAAGACTGAGAACCACTGCCTCAGTTCATGAGACCCTCACAACAAGCAGGTTGGCCGGAATCACGGCTCTCCAGCACACGAGAGCCTGGGATGAGACCGGGAGAGCCTGTCAAACCCGGCGAGCAGACTGGACCCTGGGTACAGAGTCAGCTCATGGCTTTGTCCATGACGGGATGCTTCCTGCTTATTCTTTAGAAATGGATAAGCTCTGGTCAGTCATAGAAATTTCTTAATGTTTATTTGATGTAAAGCAATCTCATCTACTATAGCTACAAGGAGAACATTGATTCAAGTTTTGTGTTATAGTTCAAACCATTAACTGAAAAAAACCGAATCAACCTGCTGCTGGCGCATTTTTGGGTAGTTACGTTCCTAGGGGGAGAAAAGGTGCATAAAGTGATAACTTCTTCATGGATTATACTTTTAAACAATATAATTTCTGTCCCCTGACACGCCCTTTATCTTCAATTCCAATGTTTCTGATACTGATACGGCCACACCTGCTTTTCTTCAGTAGCCTATGCCTGCCTACCTTCCTGCCTTCAACTTTTTGAATGTCATCTTGTTGTAGGTGTTTCCTGTGCACAGAACCTAGCTGGGCTTTAAAATACCGATCTGAGATGCTCGTTCTTTCAGTGAGGGATCGATTATTAACGTCAAGTTGAGACACAGCATCCATTACAGACATTTCCTCCTTACCTTTTCCCCCCCACCTCTTTCTGTAAGCTTTTAGTTGAACTGATTTTTTCTTTATTCCATTGTCCTACCTTCTAGGGTCTGTTTTGTTTTATTTTCGTTATTCTGCAGAAGGTGTTTTTATCAGTGTTTTCAAGTAGCACACTTTATAAAACTTAAAATACTTGTTAACAAACATGCATTTAATAATTACGAGTTCTTTTTGTAAAAAGTACTGGGCTCCCCTGGTGGCGCAGTGGTTAAGAATCCGCCTGCCAATGCACAGAACACGAGTTCAAGTCCTGGTCCGGGAAGATCCCCCCATGCCATGGAGCAACAGAGCCCATGCGCCACAACTACTGAGGCTGTGCTCTAGAGCCCGCAAGCCACAACTACTGAGCCCGTGTGCCACAACTACTGAAACCCATGAGCCTAGAGCCCGTGCTCTGCAACAAGAGAAGCCACGACAATGAGAAGACCGCGCACCGCAACGAAGAGTAGCCCCCGCTTGCTGCAACTAGAGAGAGCCCAAGCCCAGCAACGAAGACCCGACGCAGGCAAAAATAAATATAAAAATAAAATAAATAAATTTTTTTTAAAAGTACTATTTCCCCTAAAAACACCTACTGCAATTCTGATGATAAATTTACCTTCATAATTGGAAGGAGGTCTTCCACTTTGTGGACCTTTTCCAGAGCTTCTCTAACTTCCAACAATCCTTTAGGATTATTAGCTCTTAAAAAGGGAAAGACAGAGAGATGGCAACTAAAATTAATACAGAAATTCATAATTATGCTCTTACCTTTAATTTAAATAAATCATCCTTAATTACTAGTGGCTCAATATTCAAAACGGTGGACCACAAACAAAGTTTTGAAATAACGGGACGGTTTAATCTAATCAGTATTGGGCTACAGATGAGAATTAAGGAAACAAGACAGCAGTCTGTCTAGAATGTGAACTGGGGAAAACCTGAAAGGATGGGCAGCCAATGTCTGTGTGGACATGCATGGGTCTGGGCTTGGTCAGAAAACCTTGATTCCCCTATTCCAACTATGAAATTAGAAGTGAATGTTTTTTCTTCCCAAAGTTGCTCAAATGGAAGTATCCTACTAAGCTCTTATACCAATTTTATATTTACTTGGTGAACTAACATTCAGAATTCCTTTTTCCCCAGCATTCCGTCCACTGTCCTATCTATACTGTACTGCCTCTCAGTTGAGGGAGAATGAGTATTAAGGCGGAAATCCCTCATTTAATCCCTAATTAAGAAATTCAAAGAAACACCCTGCTTTGAATTCAAAGAAAGGCTAGACGCTTTCAAAGAGGCTAGAAAAGTCACAGCAATGTGTGTAAGATAAAAATACTCAGTTAAGGTCCATGGATTTTGTGAAGCTCTTAAAAAGAAGGTTGATAAATGATCATGAAAGGCTTTATGATTCCAAACACTATGTAAAAATAGGACATATTTTGTTTGGTCTGTCAATAGGCTTGGTTTTCAAGTTTCATAAATATAACTAATGTAAAAATACATAAAGTTTATCCATTACTACGAAAAGAAAATTGAAAGATTACCCATGATAAACTAGAATTCTATCTTTAATAAAATGAAGAATTTTCTCAAAATATTCCAGGTATCTCATGTTGATCACCTGACCCCTGTGAGAAAAAACAATTAAGAATGTTTTTACAAAGAAATATGTTCCACACAATATCTAATTTCAAAGTTAATTCAAAAGGACAATGAGAGAGCTGGGAAATTCGCTTGTTTGCAGCCAAAGAACGGGAGAAACAAACACCTGTCTAAGCGAGACTGATGGTCAGCGACTGGGCTTATTCTGGTGGGAAAGGCACCAAACTCAGCCCTGGAGATGCCAAAACAGGAAGAAAAGTCCTCAGGTACTTAAACGGGGCTCAGACTTGTATGCCCCTTTCCCCTTATGGATCCTTTCCCTTTTTCGGCAATATGCTCCCTCCTGCCCCTCGGCGCTCCTGATGGCATTATGGGCTAATACTCCTTCTTGCTGTCTAGCTTACTAGCTGTCTTCATCTCCTCTACCACTCTAAATAGTATTTTCCTCCCGTTTCTATCCCCACCCCCATTTTTAAAACTCTCCCAGAACCTCACGTACAGCCAACACGCCGATGTACCCATCCAGCTGACGCACGTGTCCGGCAACACACATAGCCGACCGCTTCCCGGACACCGCTCCCTGGACTCCCCGCGGGCGAGTCAAACCTCAGGTTCAGGAACTCACCCCAGCTCCCCAGCGTGTTCACCTACGTTCTGCCCTGGGGCTTCCTGGCCTACTGGGGCAACCACGTGCCCTCCCGGCAATGGGACCGCCTACCCGCAGCTTCACGCTCGCCCTCACTTCTAACCCACCCCCAGGGTTCCGACCCTGCCTTCTCAGTATCCACTCTTCCCTTCCAGCTCACTTCCACAGAGCTTTCCAGACCTCGGTACCAGTGCACCGGAATGTTCCACAACTTTCTAACCAGTCCCACGCCTCCAAAGGAAGTCGCTGCCCTCTCATCTATTCTGCCACCTGTGGCCAAAGTGCTCACCCAAATGTGTAAATCTGTTCAGCTCACTTCTCCGCTTATGATCTCTGAATGACTCTTTTATTTCAGGACAAAAAGTGCCTGAGCATGGATATGTTAGCTATATTTTGGGGAAAAAAAGCTGTTTATGTTTCAGCCTCTGTCTTTCCAGCCTCGACTGCTGACAGCCCCTTAAGCATAAACTAACCACCAGTCATAATGAATTAGTGATACCTCCCTGACCATGCCTGACTCACAGGTGGGGGGGGGGGATGCCTGACTCACAGGT